TGATTCGTATCCTCGTTTTATTGCTTCAACAACATATAAGAAAATTTTGGATTCTTATGGTAAAATCGAAGAACTCTAAGAATTAAATCACTATTAAATAATTTCTGTATATTTCGTTTGAAATTTGCATTCTCATTCTCAAATATTATTACTATTATAGTAAAAATTATATTATTGAAAAAATTTTTTAGAACTTTTAATTAATTTAATTAATTTGTTTTGTTTAGAAAATTATCAATAATATGCGATACGATTTCAACAGATGAAAATTCGCTTCATTTTTGAATTAGCTTCACTTTTTCAAAAAGTTTTCTTTTTTGAAAAAACTAACAGACAAATTTTTTGTGGCTGTCACTTATAGTATTATTTCAAATAATATATATATATGAAATTTTGATATGTGAAATTTTATTTATCATAATTAAACTTCAATAATTTTAAATACAAAAGGACTATTTTGAATTATAAAGCTTTCTCACCTGCTTTCTTTTTGTTTTTGATTAGGAAGCGACAAGTGCGCTTAATTTTTGTTTGTTATATGCGACAAATGAGCTGCACCATCTCATTTCTTTCTTTCTTTTGATCTCATTTTTTTCAACAACAATTTCTTTCAATTTCTTTAACAAAAGAATGATTAAAAAATATATGTGCTTTTTAATTTCAATTAAATTCCTTCATTGTTTTATAGCAAAATGCTCATTAATCCTAAAATAAATAATTAAATGTTTTAATTTTTTGTTTTGGGTAATTTAATTACCATTAAAAGTTTTAAATTTAACTTCACCAAAAAAACATTCTTTAATAATAATTCATTATCTTATCTGAATTTAATTTGAAACAATTGAAGTTTTGCACAGCTGGAAACTATAAAATAATATGCTATTGTTTTTCTTTTTTGAAATGATATTTGTTTATTTGCCTTTAATTTGCACATTGTAGTTCAAAATATGAAATTTATATTTGAAATTTATCTAAATTGTCGATGGCATTTACTATTTCAGATAATTATAAAACAATTGTATTAATTGTTTTTATTTTAAATTTCGAAAGAAAATGATATACAAGGAAAATTTATCATAATTCAATTTAAATTGTTGTAGTAAAGAAATTGAAAAATATTTATAACAAATGATTGGATCATCGTTAATTTATTGCGGGATAAACTTACGTATGCGATAATTATTTGCATATCAATCAAACAGCATTGTATGAATCACATAGTACTACTAATTAATTAATTATTTCCTGTAATTTGTTTTTTAAATTAAAAAAGTTTTCAAAAAATTTCAAAGATGATATTTTGATGAATAAAAATTTTGCATTTTGTCTTTATTTGTTCATCATATATTTCTTTTCATATCTGTAATAAAACTACAATATTATCGTAATATTATTGTAATACCGTATCATATTTGTTACTGTTATTTGATGTCGTACTTTTATTGATTAATGTAATTAATCTTCTTTGTTTTTTTTTTTTTTTAATTTTATTTTTGGTTATAATATATTTCAATAAATAAGTTTCTTTTAGTTTCTACATTTTATTTCATTTATTAATAACAATTTACGCGTAATTAATTGGTTCATTCTTGTTAAGGTTTCAGTTAGGTAATGATATGATAAGAAGTTTGAAAATATTAAATTAATTGATATGATAAGAAGTTGATGAAAATATTATGAACAACAATTTATGCTTAATTTCATCTTATTTTCAAAAAAATCAAATTGATTCATTCTTGTTAAAGTCTAAGTTAGATAATGATATGATAAGAAGTTGATGAAAATATTAAATTAACTGGTATGATAAGAAGTTGATGAAAATATTATGAACAACAATTTACGCTTAATTTCATTTTACTTTCAAAAAATCAAATTAATTCATTCTTTTGTTAAAGTTTAAATTACACAATGATATGATAAGAAGTTGATGGAAATATTAAATTAATTAGCAAAATGTTAAGCATTTCATTTATCACTTTATCACGTTATTACACATACATGAATAAATCTTTTTACAGGTAAACGATGTAAATTATGATGTTTGCTGATGAATTTTTGCAAAGAAACTTACACGCAGAATAATAAATTGCATAAATTATCATAAATTACTTATCATTTTAATCATATCATATAAGTTGTTTTGCAAGAAAATTTTTTCATAATATAAAATTTTAAAAAAATTAGGAAGATGATTGTTGAAATTTTTCTAAAATATTTAAAATTTAAAAAATTTTAAAATATTTAAGAAATAATTAAAAATTAAAAATTTAGAATTTAAAATTAAAATAATTAAAATTTAAAATTGAAACAATTAAAATTTACAATTAAAATAATTGAAATTTAAAATTTAATTAAAACAATAAAAATTTCCAGATGGTTTTGTCCTTATCGTTATTGCAAAAGTTAATCATTAGAAGTTTTGTAATGAAATCAAGTTTGTTGAAATTTTTTGCAATTCGTATTTAAGTATTATCATTTGTAAAATTGTTTATTGTCACCCTTTTTTTTTATATAAAATTTTAATAAACAATTTTTTTATTAATTATTTTATTGTTTAAGTGATATCATTTGAAAGTTGGAAATATGATAGATATCATTTTGTATAGTTAAAATGATTCAGCATATAACTAATTATATGAATCTTCTATTAATCATTTTATTGTTCAATTGATATTATTTGAATGTTGGAAATATGATGGATATCATTTTGTATGATTAAAATTATTCAACATATAACAATAAAATGATTGAACAATAAAATGATTAATAGAAGATTCATATAATTAATTATATAACATAATTATATGTTGTTGAATTATTTTAACCATACAAAACATATAATTATATGTTGAATTATTTTTAACCATAGAAAACATATAAAATATAAAATAATAAATAGTGAAATAAATATAAAATATAAAATAATTAATTAGATAGATTATTATTATTATTAATGACAGATGTTTTCTTTTTTTGCATTCATTGTAAGAATACAATTAAAAATAAAAGATTGATTTATCAATCAATGATTATATTTAAAACGATTCAATATATTTTATAATTTCATAAATTAATAATATTTTTTTGCCTCAAATTTAATTTTCAAAAATTATATTCAATTATTAAATTAATTAATGCAAAAAGAAAAACGATTCTTATTATTGTAATTTCAAATTTCAGATTATTCAAATTTCTATAATTAACAAAAAAAAAAAAAAAACGTTTATTGAATAATATATGAAAATAAAATTTGTTTATAAAATATGTTTGATAAAAATTATTATTTCATGGATAACATAGAATGTTAAAATTCAATTTAAATTATGATAAGACGATGATCATAAGATGGGATTTTGATAAATTATTAAACCTGATTTAATTTCTATTTGATATTATAATTCGCTTTTTGTTATTGAAATGAAATTGTACAGACCAGTTTATCGAGGTCAACAATTTCTCATTGTATTTCCTCTTTCAATTTTTTTTTTACTGTCAATGAAATACTACCAAAAACTGGACTTTCTCTTAAATGGAAAATACAGGTTGGCTTAGTTTATTTGTTAATTGTTTGATGTATTATGATAGATAAACTAATCAACAAAATAGTAAGTACGAAAAACTTGTTCATATTTTCCAGTTAGTTACTATTTTACGATTTTAATCAGATTATAAAGAGAGTGTATCGAATTTGCATACATATTCATATATTTAATTTTTGCATACATAATTATATAATTTAATTTTAACTATTTTACAAGATTAAATTAAACTATGAATGAAACAAACGAATTATTTGATAATTAAACGTTATTTTGTTTTTAGAGAAATATTATTTGTGAAGTAGTGATAATTTATAGAAAATAATATATTTTACTATATGCATATATTTATTAGTATTTCGATTATTTAAATTAAAAATTAAAATTATAAAAAAAATGAAATTTTAATTTCTGTATTATTTTACAAATGATATTTTACTTTTGCCGATGTTATGTTACGCTTATTCATCAGTGATATATCATTTTAATTTCATCTCTCTCATCCTAATTTTCAATTTAAAATTTGTTGAACAACAACAACAACAACTGCAATCGAAAATTACTATTGTATGAAAATAAATTTATTGTTATTACCTTTCAATATTTGTAATATGTTATTGTGAAATTTTGAAAATTTAGGTGAACAAGTGAATGAAAAGAATTGGTTGACGATAACGATAGTAACGATTACAACGACATACGACATTTGATGGCGATCAACCAACCACTATTTGATGGTTTGATAGAAGAGAGTTTTGACAGATGATCGAGGTAAAATAGATTCGCCTTCTTCCCACCTTTTCAACTCTATTTTATTTCGAATCTCACTCAAACATAGATACAAACATACACACACGCACACACACACACGCATAGACTTTGATAGGGAAATACACATTTAGACATTATACAAAATTTTTGATGACAATAACAAATGGATGAGGACAGACAGGTAGGTGGCTAGGTATAGCTTGGCTTACGAAATCAATGCGACGCAGTAGTAAATTTATCTACTACTAAAACGGCATTGCAGTTGAAATTTGCAGTAAAACGGTAGCAACAATGCAAAAGATGATATTAAATGAGTACTTTTTCATACATACACACACACACACACACACATATACACACACATAGAACAAATTCAACATTTGTCTTCATCTCTTTATAAATAAAAATTTAATGTTTTAGTGCTGCTGCGGTAGCACTATCAACCAATTGCAGCAATTGCAGCATTTCGGGGCAGAAGAAGAAGACGACGAAAAGGAGGAGGAAAAAGTGAGGATGGTCAACGAATTTGGAAGTAAAACAGTTATGGATCAACGATGTGGTTGGTAGGTGGGTAGTAGGTATATGTAACAATTCAGTAGTTAACAGCTTCTTGGATTATACCTGTCCCCTCGTACTATTCCCTTCTTGAACCCCTCCCTCAAAACTTTTCTTCACTTCTTCTACTACCTTTCAATATCGCTCACGACCGTCCCCTTTTCTCGTATCGTTGAAAAGTTCGCCCTCCTTTTCATTCCATTCCATTCCAATCGACCACCCCAAAATTATCCCACCATCATCACAAATACCGATCATTACTGGTTTTTCGAGTTCCTCCGATATATGTTTGCATGTGTGTGTGTGTGTGTGTGTGTGTGTGTATATCTCTGTATATGTGTGGGTGTGTACACTACTTCGTATACGCAACTCTTTCATCAAGAACTTTTGCCATCTTCTTTCAGTTCGAAAAGCAAAGGAACAGGAGGAGGAGGAGGAAGAAGAGGACCAGAAGGACCGGCCCCTTCTAAATACATACATCACATACATTGTGCATACCTTCATCTCGGTACACACATATACACACCAATACACTCACAGATACCAGATACCAGACCAGCAACGGCAATAACTTGCCCTGCCCTCTACCAGCACCATCAACAGGCACCTAACAGGAGCGGACACGATCCAGTCCTCGCCCTCGCCGCGCGGCACCAAAACCAAACCAACGACGACGACGAAAACGGGCCAACGAGGAGGAACAAGGACCGGATAGTGGGTAAGCCTGTTTCTTCTATTACTACTACTACTACCACTACTACTACTGCTACTACTACTACTGCTACTACTACTACTACTGCTACCATCATCACCATGAACACCAAGCACAGCAACACCTGCGATACAATCACTAGTAATATATGCACCGAACTTCCCCTCTCTCCCTCCCCACTTTTCCTTACACCGATCTTTTCACCTCACTTTTTTTCCTTGAAAGAAGAACCAGTGTCACCCTGACCTGTTGTTCTAAGAGTATCGAACACTTTTTGGCGATACCGGTTCCTCAGAAAAAGACCTTTATTTCTTATGTACTTGTCGTTTGACCCAGGCATAAGATTGTAACAAGCCTAAAGCCACAAAACCTGTCTCCGACTCATAACCTGTCTTTAATACCAATTCTACAAGCAAACTTTTATCTCTTTTTGCTCCTTTCCATATCTTGCATCTTTTTAATTCCACAAATAAATCAAATTTAAAAAATTCACTACCTAATAATTTAAACCAATAACAACAACAACAACAGCAACAACAACAATACTAACAACAATTATTATATGATTACATTGTATGAATAATAATGTTTGGTAAGTAAAAAACATATACATATATATATCCGAAGTTTTTTATAAATATAAATAAGTTATTTTTGAAATAAAATATTCTCTTACAATCACTTATTTATTTCTCAGGTCCTACAAGGAATGAAATTGGAGTCGTTCGATTCGCAATCATCAGTCCGCGCTACGGCGACGATGTCTTCATCGCAGTCCCAGCAACAGCAACAATTTCACTTAGATTCATCATCGGTTATCAAGACTGCTCCTCCAGGTCTAAAGTAGAATTATTAATGAAAAATTGGCAAACATATTTGGTTGAGAAAAAAATTACTACCTTATATTCGAACAAAAATTTTACACACCTTCTAAAGATAATTAATGAAGTAATATCTTTAATCGGAAGTTTTATTGCATTAGTAATGATTTACTAATTCAATAGGACAAATATATTTCAATCATACAATTTTATTAATTTGTTTACTGAGCAGACTTCTTTCCTTTTATTGTACTGAGCAGATTTCTTTCCTTTTATTGTTTATTGTAAACTATTATTTATTGACAGATAAACAGGTAAAAAAAATTCAGTCATACTACAAAATATTCATTTTCAAATTTGCTTATTTTATTAGTTTGATAAAAATGAGTACAATAATTTGAAATCTCTGATAATTTTATAGGTCGTGGACAGCAGCAACAACAACAACAACAGCAACAACAGCAACAGCAACAGCAGCATGATTTTTCACCAAAAAGTGAACCAATTGATTTAGCACCACTTAGCCAACCAAGCTTACAAGATTTAAGCAAAATGCAACCTATCGAACAGTATTATTCTATGCCTAGCTATAGTCGAGTATACACTGATTATGCAGCTATTGGACTTGCTCAAGGGCAAACATCCATTATTACGGCTCCATCTAGTGCTACACCGCTTTACTATCCCACCGTATTCCAAGGTGCCGTAACGGCCCACGAATGGCAACGCCCTATGGAACACTATCAGCAGTATCAGCAACAGCAACAGCGAGCCAGTGCTTTACAGTATCCCCAAGAGGTACCACAACCACAGCAACAGCAGCAACAGCAACAGCAACAACAACAACAACAGCAACAACAACAACAACAACAACAAGAAACGCGGGTATATAAAGCTGCGGTGGAAATGCCTTCCCCGGTAGATAGCGGTATTGGTGCTGATTTATCCTTAATTGCAACAAAAAGTGAAGATTTTTATGCAGCAACCGATGTATTACACGGTATCCAATCAGCTACCAATGATAGGACTGAACGTTCATTAAGTCATCGTGATTCACCGGTCGTCATTCCTAAATTGTTCGTTTTGATATTTGCATAAAATTTACTAAAAACAAAAAAAAGTTTAAAATTTGCAAGCATTAATTTGAACTACCTTAAATTTCATAAAGACCTCATTTGCTTAATTCTCAAATCGTATTTTACGAATAATTAAGAGCAAATTTTTACTTCCATTATTTCTATCATACTTCACTTTTTCAACATAAAATTTTATATGTCATTAATTAATCGTAATAACATTTCCTTGCGATTTGATGTATTCTTAATCAATTCTTTCCTTTCTTTTATCATTTAATTATATCTTAATTATACTCAATTTTTCTTTTGATCTATTTTTTATTTGTTTTCTGCAATCACTTTTCTATCATTCATTTATCTAAAACTTTGGGTTTTTTAATTAAAATTTTTTTTAATTTTATAAGTCTTTTTCTGCTTTAGATTTTAAAACAAAAAGAAACATATATGAGAATATTTAGTATTTTGTAGATTTTTTCGCTTTCTTTCATATTCATAAATGAAATGTTACCAGTAATTAGCTTTTGCTTAATGAATAATTTAAACTTATTTTAAATTGTTCCTCAAATTTTTTGTTTTGTTTCATCATCTAATCATCGAATTATAATTATTACAATTAAAACGGGAATTAAAATTACAAATTAAAATATATGCAAATGTTAAATAATTAAAATTAAAAAAGTAAGAATTAAAATTACAAATTAAAATATTTGTAAATGTTAAATAAAATGAATTGAATTTTAAAAACTGAGAATTAATAATACAAATTAAAATATTTGCAAATGATAATTAATATAATTAAAATTTAAAAAGTAAAAGTTAATATTACAATTAAAATAATTGTAAATGTTGAATGATACATAGGGATCAAGTTAACATACATAACATTTTTAAATCAAAATAAAAATGATCCTTTATCAAAAATAATGATTTCTACTTTTCAATTATTTGCTCCATCAAAAATTTACATACAAAATTAATTGATTAATTATTTTTGCGTGAATGATTTGATAGTTCAAAAATGAAATATAAATTTAATACAATGAACATATATCATTTTACTGCAAATCGATATTATCTATATTGAAGAAAAAGAAAAGAAATTAATTATCAAAAAAAGATTTCATTCTCTATTAATTATACGTATATTTTAATTATTGTATAATTAAGTGTATATACGGGATCAAATTTGAATTCAATATATTTTACACCAAAACTGGTTTAAGTCTAATAATTTTTCCTTTTCTCCTCATTATCATAGTAATACATAAAAAACTTACATACAGTAGAATTAATATGAATGAATGATAGTATATAATAATTTTTATTATACCCAATAAATATCTCTGTTTCTTTTTCAATTATTTGATATATATATATTTTAAATTCTCTTTTTCTTTTTCAATTATTTGATATATATTTTAAATTTTCTTTTTCTTTTTCAATTACTCGATATCGATATAATTTGAATTCTTAGAAAAGAAGGGGAAATATGAGGAAGGAATGGATTCATTTTACTTTTTCAAATTTATCGGTTGATCAAAAATGATGAAAATTTTACGACAAAAAAAATTTGAACTGAATTATTCATAATGTTAAAAACAGGTTCCTTCAAAATTTCCTTATATTCTTTCCACAGGTGCTCGTTCTGTAATTATGTTAATCATTACAAATCTTTTCCAAACAAATAATATCAAGCAGTAATTAACAGATTTTTTTTTTAAAGAGAAATAAAAAGGTAAAATAAAATATAAGATTTTCTTTTAGCAAAAAGAAACAAATAATAGTAAAAACAAAAGTTTTGTAATAAATTTTATATTTAAAACAAAGAAAACGATAATTTTTCTTGGTTTGCAAAAATTTTCGAAAATTGTAAAAGTGAAAAAAATAAACAAATAAAATATTTTAAATTTAAAAGAAATAATTTTTTAGAAATAATTCTAATAATAAATTAATGTTCATTTTGCTAAGTAATTTATTAAAATTAGAAATTTAGTAATTTATTAAAATTAAAAATTTAGTAATCTATTAAAATTGAAATAAAAATTAAGCAATTTATTAAAATAAATTAAGTAATTTATTGAAAATAAAATTAAGTAATTTATTAAAAATAAAAATTAAGTAATTTATTAGAATTAAAAATTAAGTATTTTATTAAAATTAAAAATTAAGTAATATTTATTCATTTTTATCCTACCTATTTTATTGTTGAAAAAAATGTATCGTTTTCTTAAACATATTTTTTTAAGTGTTGTATTACCTAAATTCATGCATGATATTTATTACAGAGAGAATAGCCTTGGCTTTCAATATGTCTTAGAAGCTCCAATATCAACATCGGTACGTAAGGAAGATGATCGGATGACATATGTCAATAAAGGACAGTTTTATACTGTCTCATTTGATTACATTCCTGATCTTTGTAAACCACTAAAAAGTCCTACAGTTAAAGTAAGGCTTTTTTTTGCTTTATTTTCTTCTTCATTAAATTTTTTTATAAACATATTGAAACTTTGCTAATTAATAAAATTTTTCAAAGGTTAATTACTGAATTTTTCATCTCATTTTTTTATCAATAACAGGTAATTAATTATGTATGCATAATATATATTAATGTAGAAAGGATTTTTTTTTGTCACTGTTCTACTGATATAGTAGTAGTAGCAGTATTAATAGTATTAGTGCTACTGGTATCAAGTACCGGTATCGACAACGATGCAATAAAACAGGCTAGATTAACTTGTTGCCGTAGATCGGGGAGTGAACAAGGTGATGCACACAAAAACCAGACCTATTCCTGATCATACTACTTCTCAGTTATCCATCCGGACAACGGCATTTTCAATTTCTCTTACATGACAAATGTTATGTTCCTTAAAAGTTTTGAAATTCATTTTATCAATTTATTAAAATTACAAAGATAATTTTGTTTTCCTAAAAATGCTTTATTAAATAATATTTTAGAAAGTTATCAAGAATTTTTAATAAATTTAATGATGTTGTAAATTTAAATTTTGTTCATATTATTTGTCGGCTAATTGCATTAAGAAAAGATAATTTTCATATGCTACTTTAATTTAAGTAATTAATTTCCTTTTTAGAATTTCTACAGCTTTACTTTACCTAAATACTGCGAATTTTTTAAGGTATAAATCAAATTTCTAATTGATAAATCATTGATTTATTAATTAAAGATATTTTAATAAAGAATATTTACTTAGCTAGGTATAATTAATTTCCCGATGTATTTTTCCGACCTGATTATTTCCTCTCAAACATTATTCTCATTAAATATTTGATGATTATCTTTCTATCAGGCATAGATTCAACTATTTCTACATTGTAGAAATTTCGTCATTTCTATAAAAAACACAAAAAGATTTTACGACAAATTTTTATTTGAATAATATGAGTTAAGTTGTTGTTTTTAAATTTAATTTTTTTCC